CGAAAGAGCCAGTATTTACTGCGTTCTGAGTTTATCCAACCGACGGTTGCGTGTCAGATGATGAGCCTTCCCTTGCCAGTTCGTCGGCGATTTTACTTCCTTCATTCAATCTCAGATCNTGAGCAACCTGATGTTGGCTCTATTCAAAAGATTTACATATGCCCTGAATAATGAAAAGGTAGCGAAAGAGCCAGTATTTACTGCGTTCTGAGTTTATCCAACCGACGGTTGCGTGTCAGATGATGAGCCTTCCCTTGCCAGTTCGTCGGCGATTTTACTTCCTTCATTCAATCTCAGATCATTTTCGGTAGCTCAGACTGTATTCCGCTACCCGCTATATTTTGGTTTGTCTGTGGTAGTCATTTGCTCCCAATGTGACTATTCAGAAACCATGCATTCCCAGCAAACGAGATACCCGTAAAATTGTCCGAAAATGAAAAGAATGGCGGATACAAATCAGATGTTTCAATCGTTTACAGATTCCATTTCTGGAAGTTTTTTGCACGTCATGCTATTAAAATGTGCAGCCGGAACGTATGAACTGAAGAGTACCTATTGAAAATATTTGTTTTTGAAACTTTCTGACTTAAATTTTCCTTTGATTTTACCTTACTTCTGTAATTCACAACTGCTTTAATTTTAATAAGTACTTTGCAGCAAAACGAAAACTAATCGTACAAAAACTAAGAATGCTTAACAAAAAAAAAAAAAAAACACAGATCTCCCACCGATAGGTAAATTAAAAATAAATTTAGTATAGTATAGAAAGGGAGTAACTAACATCGTCACTGAAACGCAAAAAAGCAACAACTAACTGAAATTTTTTATTGCCCAAAACGATCTGGGAACTTTTAATTCGATGAAATGCAACGTAATCAAACAAAAGTTAAATTTTGGATTTTCAGTTAGTTACGGAATTTTGTATTTCAGTAACAGTGTTAGTTATCCCACTTTCCATACTTATGCTAACGATATGTACATCTAAACTAAGTACATAAGTCGACACATTCATCTGTATGTACCATGGCGCTCACTTAAGTAGCACACCTTTATTTTTTTACAAAATTCACAATGTTTGACATGATATATTTTTTCGTAAATTCTTTTTTAAAGTATAGTAGATGATATAACATTAACCAGTACAGTTCAGGGAAATTTAACAAATGTCAAAAAATGTCATACAAAGTTTCAACTTTTTTTTCAAAATATTTGGAAACTTTTCGGTATGCAATTTTGTAGCCCATTCAATTTTTTAACCGACTTCCAATAAAGGAGGAGGTTATCAGTTCGTCGGAATATTTTTTTCGTATGTATGTTACCGTATAACTTTGGACCACGTCAACCGATTTCAATAATTCTATTTGAATCGGAAAGGTAGTATCTAGGCCTGGCTAACGGCGCAATTTTTTTGGCGCTGACACACTAACTCCAGCGCCACTTTCGGAATCAGCACAGTGTGTTGGCGCAACGGCGCTTCTTCAGGCTAAAGCTCATTTCCTTTAATGCTGCACGCTGCACCAAAGTGAATTAATACAAGGTTATATCGGTTGAGAAAAAACTCAAGTCTACCCAAGTTCAAAGCCCAAAACTACAACAAACACATCATTTTCACATTCAGAAGGACCGCGACGAATTCTAGCAACACCACCTTGTATAAATTCGCCTTGTGCTACACATCCCTTCTATTTCGAGTGTTCTTTGCTGGTTCTTTGCGACACCTGGTGTTGTCAGAGTTCCGGTGTTGAACTAAGGTGAATTAATAAAAGGTGGTATCGGTTGGGCAAAAACAACTCAAGTATGCCCAAGTTCAAAACCCAAAAATACAACAAACACATAATTTTCACATTCAGAAGGACCGCGGGTAANTGTCAGTGTTCCGGTGTTGCTGGCGCCATTGCGTCACTGAGTTGTGACAATTTTTATCGGCGCCAGTAACTCAGCACTCGGTATCAGCGCAATGGCGCGGCGCCGCACTGTGTTACCCACGGCTAGTAGTATCGCCGAGGTGGTCCATACAAATCTGGTTTCGATCCGATCATTGGATAATAATATATATGTATATATATATATATATATATATGAGAATTGAAGTCGGTTTTGTTTTTTAAAAGTTACTTGTTTGTTTGAAAATTACTTGTAGTATAATAAGGTTGCAAGTTTGAAAATTCGGAAAACTTTCAAACCTGCACATTACTATACTAAAATTTAATAGCCTACAAAACTGCATACCCAATAAGTTTTTAAAAAGAATCTGAAAAAGAGTTGAAAAGTTTGATGAATTTATTTTTGAACTGTATACAAAGTTTTAGACTTTGACTTATATGGAGAATTTACTATAATTTTATAAAAAAAATTTACGAAAAAAATGTATCACGTAAAACATTGTGAATATTGTAAAAAATAAAATTATGATACTTAGGTGAGCACCACTGTAGGTATAAAGCTTTCTAAACTTATTCCTAGCCTAAGCACACACGCAGAGCTTTTTTTTTGCTTTAGATTTGTACAGAGTAAAAGCTTCTTCTGGACAACTCTGTTCTAAACAAAAAATGTAAGCAGTTTGTTTACGCTATGTTTTTATGTCATTCGGCAGCGGTGGTACCCAACCGCCAAAGGCGCCCTCCAACTCCGCAGCGATTTGTAGGCATAGTTTATCTTGATACGGTGCAGCAACAACCTGGAAGCCAATTGGTAGACCTCGCTTATTCAGGCCCATGTTGACATGTGTTGCTGGTAGGCCAAGTATGTTGAACAGTAGCATGAGACCTACGCCCACTAAATTCAACGTGCCTGTGTTAAAGGCGAAAGTTGATGTGGGAAAGGTGGGCAAGAAAAGCACGCCATTGTTGCCGAGCATTTGCTGCAAGATAAATAATAAAATTAACCAATTAAAAATATATTTTTTTTTTAAAATACAATACACACTACTAGTTCCTCTTTTAGTGCTTCGCCTTCAATGCGAAGTTCTTCCAATTCCTCCGTAGACATATACACTTTCTTCAATCGCATCCACTCCATAAATAAAGCGTCACGATTATGCACTGACTTTCCGATAAGCGAAAGCAACAATTGCCAAATTAAAGTTCTTATTTTTGGTGTATTTTGAGTTGTTACGCTCGGTATGCCGCGAATTGCTGAGAGGGCGCCTAAACCGATTTCTCTGGCGTGAGCAAATTTATCCAATTTCACCTGTAGGTAATATACTATTAATTCTATATGCAACTGGTTTCACTTCATATTTTGTTCAAAATCTAAAATATATATAACTCGCCTTTGCTGTGGTGAGCCCTCCTTTTTCGAAGCACTTGACTGCCTTTGTTATGGCCAATTGTATATCGAATTCAGTGGGTGGGTGCACAAGTGCAGCACAACCGTTGAAACCGTAAGTGTAGTATATCTGCAAATGAAATCTATAAATTTTATATATTCACATTAAATTCTCAAGTAAAAATCCTTACTTTAATGTCCTTTAGCTGTACTGGTTCATTAAATTTCAATTTCTCTATATTTTCGCCGGCCATTACTTGCAAAAGTATGGGCAAATCTTTGGCAAACCGTGTTATTGGTCCCGTCGTCAGATATTGCGGGAATACCGGATCATCTGTGTAGGGGAAGCTGCCCTCAACCGAAAGCAATCCACCGGTCGCTTTATGACCGAATACACCGCAAAACATAGCAGGTAAACGTATGGATCCGCCGATATCTGATGCGAGACCGAACGGGGTAGCGCCGGCGCCATTTAGAGCACCCTGTAAAAAGATATTGAAATAAATACAATTCAAATATTCAAAAAGAAAAAATTGCGCTAAATATTTATGTATATTATTTTAAGATAAATAAATACCTCTCCGCCAGATGAGCCACCAGACACTCTGTTCAGGTCATAAGGATTGCGACATTTTCCATTCATTTTGGTGTTTGTCTCGTAGCTCATGCAGAACTCTGGACTCGCTGACACTAAAAGTGGTATGCAACCGGCAGATCGCAGTCGTTCCACAACTTTACTGTCATGTTCACATTTAATATTTTTGCGATAAATGTTTCCGACCACGAATGAAAGTCCTACAAATAAAGAAATTGTTGCATGGTTATTGGAGCAAAAAGACGGACCAATCGCAAATTGCATAAAGAAAAGTAACGCGTTGCTAAATTTAGGGTGATAAGAACTACACTTCTTAACTTAACTTAACTTCTTAATTCCGAAAAAGCATCTGTGAAGTGCACAATGGCACATATTAAAATCTGTATACTAAAATTTATTAGGAGTTGGGTTGGTGCTCTTTCGTATGCGTATTTTTTTAATTTATCCCGTTTTTTTTTGTAATTATAAATATTTTTTTCCTTCAGTGTAAAGTAATGCGGCACAAAATAACGAACGAAAAATGACACTGAAGATGGCACAACGCCGAAACCGGTTTGTCTCCAAACCAAATTTGACAAGGGATGACGGAAAATCGTTCCACATTACATCACAAAATAAAAACTCGTTTAGAATTTCAACGAATTAGTCAAATACTTAAATGAATTTACAATTCTGTGTTATTTCTGTGTACTATTTTCACATATATTTCCGACTCGAGAGAATGGATACAGTGATTTTGTACTAAAATCGAAAAGCAAATGGAGAAAGACGTCGTCTGGGAAAATGCCGATTCTTCCATTGTCAGAAAACGTACTATGATAGGAACTCTGTTCATGGAATAAAATACTTCATCATTAAATATTCTGAAAACCAACTAGAGCGCAACAACAGCTCTTCCAAAGTGGCAATTCAAGGATTTTTTTTTCTAAATTCGATGAATTTAATCTGGCTTCCCAGACGCAGAAATATTACTTGGGAACTAGTCAATCCGTAGTCGTTCAATTCTGCCCTAAATTCCGTCAATTCTTCAAACGAAGATTTGTTTTTATTTAACAAAACAACCAGAATTTGTGGAAACGGATTTGGGTCTCTAGTTCCCCTCGATCGCCTCTCCACTAGCTTAGAGGTTGGTTTTATCAACGGACACTGTTCAATGGAAATACACGAAAAGCTTAAAGGCATCCCCTCTAGTGATTTCTACCATAGCTGCAGGTATGAGGAGAAGGTAAAGAGCATCGAACACTTTCCCTGTCACGGTCCTAGCTTTTCCTTAATACGGAATTAATAGGTCACCTTAGTGATTTCAAAGTGGGTCTCGGGACTGAAGTGTGACTCTTAACATTCCTTATACAGAGTGGCTGTTAACTTAACTTACCTAAGGTATGGCGAAACCCTAACGCCAAGAACTACGAGTCGAATATCAAATATTTTTGACTAGATTACTTAATAACAATGGTGAATGTAGTTGCCTCGAGAAATTCATTAATGTTTGATATCGTATCGAAAAAATGTACTTTTAAAGAACAAATTTTAAAATAAAGAACACATTTGATTGATTTAGAAAAATAATTAAAGTCAAAAGGCAGCCCTTTAAGAAAAAGGACTGTCCTTTGAAATGAATTAGGGATGGTCACCGTACTCATAAGGCCCGTTCTGGTGTATGGCGCTGAAGCATGGACAATGAAAACATCTGATTAGGCGACCCTAAAGGCTCTGTTATGTATACTTGGCAGTGCATGCACTGCTATACCATTTTTACGTAGAAATCAAAAACCAACAAACTTTTACGTATGTAATGCTGTGCGTTAGGTAACCGCTTACACGCGAAGCTCATTTAACAGGCCTATTAGACGGTTGTGTTGTGTTAAGAACTCCAGCCCAGCTCTCTTTTCAAAATTCAAAATGTTCAAAAATTTTTCAATTGATCAGTATTTGCTATAGGACGAAACAAACCAATTGTTACGAGTGATTTATAAATTTCCCACTCTGTATGCAAATGTTGTAGAAAAATAAATTAAAAATTCGGTTCAGTTATTTCTTTGCCTGTGAAATTGTAAGAAAAGAACGATGAAAAAATCGCTCGCTGTCGTTTAATGACTTAGATCAATCGACCCAGAGGGTCCAGTGTACGTATAGCTGTTACATATATGTACGTAGATACATATGTATGTTTTGCAAATATAAATGTAGCATACGTAAGACATGCACGTGCATCAGACTCTTAGTAAATATGCGTACCAATATCAAATTAAGACAATAAGAGAAACCAGTTATATTTACTTTAAGTTAATATATGTAAGTATATATATCAATTAAATTTCAATTAAGTATGTATTTACTTTACCTTTCAGCCCAACCGACTCCTTTACCGTAAATGGTATACCCAGCAATGGGTAGCGTGCAAAGAGTGCAACTAACTGCTCGTTGTTCGCCTTGGAAATGAGGCTATCCGCATGCTTTGCATCCTTAAGCGCATGCTCAAAACGATTCTCAAGCACTGCATTCAGACTAGGGTTGACGGCCTGAATGCGTATGATATACGCTTGCACCAGCTGATGGGAAGTAATCTGAAGATTTTTCATACCGGTACATAGAAATGTACTTATACTTTGCTATTAATATTCATATATTTTTTTATATACCTTTTTCTGCCGCAGCTCTAATACAAGTTCGCCCACAGATTTCAGTAGCAGTTCATCCTCTATTGGCGGGTAAGTTGGTCGTTTGTGAGGTAGAAACCAATTGACGAGTGTATTTGTAATAAAACAAATAACATTGCCAATGGCCATGATGGTCCGTACTATTATGAGCATGTTCTAAATTTTGGCAAGTATCCTTTTCTTCAACAAATTGAGCAAGAAATGCGATACCTAGTCGAGATATCGCTTTAAATCTCATACATTAGAAAACCCACAATTCTATCTACAAAAAGAAAAATCGATTTTTAATAGATTTTTTAACTAGATTAGAAGTATCGATGGATTTCTATCACGTTTATATCAGCTCGCTTTCATCCAGATTTCAGTACTAACTTTGCAATAGATTTTTTATCGAATTCTCGTTGAGCTAGAAATTTTGAATATAGCTCAGAATCCGGCTGTAGTTCAATATCTAACGAGGCCATTTTTAATGAAACTTTTTCTGGAAAACGGCCTCAAACCCGATAAAATTGTTGAATATAATTGTAATAAGGTTACAAATAACAAAAAACATATTAAATTAAATTCAAATTATCGAATAAGTTAAATAAATTATTATAATACACAGTGTGAGAGAAGACTGAAAAAGTGGCCAAAATTGTTGCTTGTTTATTTAAAAGTGGAAAAATCGGAAAAATTGTTTTATATATAGCTTGTTATCCAAAGTATCAAAATCCGTGAGATTTATCGAAATGTACCAGGTGTAGGGGAAAAATTTAAAAAAACAGGGTTGCCAGATATATGAAAATTTATAATTATTCAAAGGCTTCACAGCATACTTAAATTTCTATAGTAAAACAAAACCTGTTTGAAGGGATTAAAAAATATATTTTGGAGAGGCGTTGCCACCTTTCTAAAAAGTTACAATTAGGTTTATTATATTATATGATATATTATATGATATTATTAAATTTATATTAATTGAGGAAATCAAATTAAGAATTTTATAAAAAAAAATTAGGTGGTGGTTTTTGCGTCAAAGTTTTTTAAAAAATGCATTTAATTTGACTAAAACAAATAAATGGATTTTAAGAGATCTTTCAAAATTTAACCTGTTATTAGCCTGCATGAATATAACTGCCCATTTTTTATTTATTATTTTTTTATTTCAAATATTTTTATAATTCTTACTATTTTTTATTTTAACTTTTTTTAATTAATTTAATTAACGGAAGAAAAAACTCAACAACTAAAAATTAAAGCTTTAATTTGTTCCAGTGTAATCCTACTCACCGGTAATGAGATTATTTCTATTTTTAATTTTTTTTATCTACTAGAGTTATTTTTTTAATAATTTAATTAACTTAATTTAATTAATTAAATATTTTTATTTTATTATTTTTTTACGAATTTTGCTGTTCAAATTTACATTACAAATATATCAACAAACATTTGTGGGTACTCTTACATCAGTCGTTGCCTATGGGCTAATGACAAAAAAATCCTATACATTCACAATATTTCATGTATTAATTTTCAAATAAGCTGTATACTGTGTTTGAGACTGAGAAGTGAGTGCAAAAATGTTCAGGCTTATAAAATTTGCAAGAGACCAGGTGAGCTCGATTTTTGATTTTCCAGAGGCACAGTGCAGTAAAAGTAGCAATTTTGAAGAAACTCGATTCTCCTGTTCCAGTTAATTAATGTTACATAATAAAAAATTGTTGAAAATAATTAAAATTTCACCAAAATAAAATTTTCTTTCTATTTTTTTTTTGGTTATTTATGGCCCTATAACAATTATATTCAACAATTTTATTGAGCTTTTCCACAAAAATGTTCTTTATTAACGGCCTCAAGCCCAATAAAGTGGTTGAATATTTCTTATTAATTGTTTTAATAATTTAAGGTGTGCAGATTAATAGATCATTAGATTTTATTAAAGTGCAAGTTTTAAGTGGCTAAGAGATCGAGTTGATTTTTAAGAGCTTTTTTTCCACGCGAATCTTTAGCCACTGGAAAACTGCTCTTTATTGTACTAAAATTCCTGTGTTATGCGGATGATATTGTTATACTAATTAGAGGCATGTTCGAAGACACTATCTCCAAACTCTTACAGAATGCTCTGAACATAGTCGCAAATCGGTGCAGTAGCAATGGGTTAAACGTAAACCCCAAGAATACCAGAATAGTCATTTCCTACAGGAAAAGAAAAAGGGACAAATTAGTAGAATCATTTATTCAAGGTAAAAAGATACACTTCTCCAAAGAGGTAAAATATCTAGGAGTTATCCTTGATGACAAGAGCCAGTAAACTGGCAAGGGGTATGTATGCAGAGCCGTCGAGAGAAAGCTCGGGCTGAAAATCACGGGCCCCCAGGCCTGGCCGCAAGGTGGGACTTTTTGGGATTTAAAATATGTGTATTCCGAGATTTAACTTCACACAAAACTTCAAGGTCTTTTTCGGCGACAGAAACAACTGCAGTAACGAACGACCTAAATCCCGGTAGTACAGCCACATCTGGTAACTATACTGATGGCTCCAAGACTGACCACGGCGTCGGAGCAAAAGTCTACGGCATACAACCCAGATGGCTTTTCACAAGCATGAGGCAAGATAACTCTGTATTTCAAGCCGAGGTTTACGCTATTGAACTATGTCTGAGGCAGTATGTAGAAAGTGGGGCAACCAAAAAAACACATCTATATTCAATCGAACCTCAAAGCTGGTGTGGGACTGTCTTCAGTTGTTAATACTAATCGCCTCCAGTAACTGCCTTCCTTACCTTCCACAGCAGGGTAATTGAAAACTTGCCAAACATTGGAGTTGTTAACTCTCTGACCAGTGTAGGTTGTGCAACGAAAAACTGGAAACAGCAGAGCACATTATGAGCCACTGTGAAGCTCTCACCAGGATCACCCTTCGCTTCCTAGGATCACCGTACCTAGAAGCACACGACCCAAATGGCATTCAGCCAAAGGATCTCGCGAGGTTTCTTAGCACTATGTGGATCAAAGATGAATAGAGGTTTGTTACAGTAGATCGTTTCGGTCGCGGCAACTATATGATCTGCTCTCTTCTCTAAATGTAATCTAATCGAGTACCAAGATTTAATGATCTGCAAATCTGTATAACTAAAAATTTTATACAGATTAAAGAAATAAATTTTCGCGATTTTTTTTGACATATTTCGATTTTGCTTGCGATTTTTTTTTCGCTTCAGGAGAACTGCAATTATTTTCAACTAGTTTTTGTTCTTCAATATTGCTACTTTTTCTGTACTTTTCACTAAAAAATTTGATATAAACAAGTAATTTTCAAGCAAAAAATAAAATCGACTTCAATTCTCATATAAAAATTAAAGATTATCGTTAATTTCTTCATGATAGAATAATCCAATCTAAACCAAATTAGTATGGGACAACGTCTGAGGTAAAACATTTCCTTAAAAAAAAAAACGAATAGAAATCGATCAACGTGGTCGAAAGTTATACGGTAACATAACGTAACATAAAAAAAAAATATTTCAATGAATTGATAACCTTCTCCTATTTTTGAAGTCGGTTAAAAAATACGAAATCGAAAATCCGTCTCATCGGGCCTTTTATGAAATGTGTAAGCTTTCATAAAAAAAAATAATCATATTGTTTCAAAAATAAGGACTCCAGTGAATTGTGAACATTAGATTCCATTAAAACTATTTCGATTTTGCACTTGTAAAATTGTTACCGAAAGAGTTTTTCGAATATAGGACGACAGTTCAATTATTAATTGCTTCCGCAAGCAACATACGGCATGCGCACAGATCTTAGGTTTAGCCTAAGTATGTATATGCTAGTAAAAAAAGGCAAGAATTGTATGAAATTAATGCAGTTGTGGTGATCAACTTTTTCAGATGCCGCTTCTATAAAATCTGCCCGTTGGAATTTCTATAAATCTTTTAAAACTTAGTTCGTAAGCGATTTGAACTTTTTTCCGAGCCGTTGTTCTTCCCACATTTAGCGCGCGTCAGGTACTAAGGTGCAATCGATTAAGCCTAGCACCAGCTGCGCCAACACACAACATTTAATCGGACAGATATAAACTTATGTACATATGTATATCCGTCCGATCATATATATGTACATACTATAGACATGAACATATACATACATACATATATGTACATATAAGAATACTCGGATTAAGGTATTTGAAATTGCAAATTTAGTGCGATTACGATGACGAGCACCCAGCCAAGTGAGAGTAGTGATTTTTGATATGATTTAAACATATTCAAAGGCAAAGTTCATTCGCTGAGCTCGCTTACACTGGTACCCTCTCTTCATATGTACATTTGGTGGAAGCAGTAGTGAAATCATTTACTGAATGCGGTTTACAATGACTATCATTTCCAGCAATGTTGTTCCTATGTACATACATGTATATACATAAGAATGTATATAAGGGTGGGCCAAAAATACAAAAGAAAATCTACTTTTTTGAATTTTCTTGCTGGTACCCCCCGGTAACCGAAGAATATCAGAAATATGGAGACACTATTTTTTTTTTATTTGGAAATCAGTCAATATAAATTTATCCATGCCGTCGGTGATTTGAAGTTTAGAATTGTTATAAAATCGTTAAAAACAAATATTTTTTGATCGAATGCGATTATTTCCCTTCAGAGGTCTTCAAAACATAAAATTATGATGAATATTCATGGTACTAACAAATTTTTCATAGCCGATAAACTTATATTTTATATACAAATTTGTGTTATTTTATGTGTTTGTAACCACATTACGCACGATCAGCTAAACCGATTTATTTAAAATTTTTTTATTCTGCCCGATGTTTTCTGCAGGTGCAAAAGTGTAAGCTCCAAAATATTTTATAATTGCATATCGTATTAATTTTAATTTTTTAGATAAGTGGCAACTCTATCCAGAATTAAGCAGGGTTTAAGGCTTTATTTTAACACCTTTTGTTTGAAACTAATATAATATTTTACTTATACGCACGTAGCATAATTTGAAATTTCTTATTATTATAGACAACTATAGCCAAAAATATTATGTATATGCGGACTAAAGTATATGTTAAAACCTTTGTTTGTGTACATACACATTCAGTTTGGTACACATATTGTGTTTTAAATAAGCTACATATATATTAATAACCGTTGTTCAATTTTATTTTCAGAAGGTGGCAAATCCGTTTCAAAATATTTTTAAATCCCTTCAAGCTCTTTTTGTTTTGATGTAGAAGTTTTTATAATATATTATGCCTTTAAATAATTTTAAAGTTTGAAATAGCTGGCAAGCCTATCCTTCACAATTTTTTTACCACAAACCCAGAGAAAACATCGAGTAGAATGAAAAAAAAAAATTAATAATGAACACATGAAAAAATTGATTTTTGTTTTTAAGAGATAAGGCTATCGTTTATTAAAACCTACTTAAAAAATATTTATTTTTAACGATTTTACAGCAATTCCACGAGAAAAAAATAATTTCATTGTGTAAAATAAATGGAAAATTTCAAAGACCGAAAAAACCTTAAAACCTACTTAAAAAATATTTATTTTTAACGATTTTATAGCAATTCCACGAGAAACAAATAATTTCCTCGTGTAAAATAAACGGGAAATTTCAAAGACCGATATTCTTCAGTCCTGGGAGTGGCTGGTAAAAAAATTCGACCGGCCTAATGTACATCTGTGCGAACATACATATGTATGTATGTACACAAATGCATGTCATTGTGTATAAGTATGATAATAATATTAGTTGTTTTTTGTTACGCCTATTTCGATAAACTAAAATTGTTTTTATTTTATGAGCTCTTGGCGGGCATGCGGGGTGAAGTTTAAGGGCACGCACGCGAGTGCATTGCGTGTTTTTTTTTTTTTTTAGTTGAAGGGTGCGGAGAGTTTGGATGGCATTGCTGCTACTTGATTTCTTCATTAACGTGAATGTTTACATTTGCAACATTTGATAGGCACTCGATGATGTATAGTGTGAGTGATTTCTAAATGCAAAAATTGTAAATATGCATAGTTAAGCGATTGAAGTGGTCTCGGATAAAATACAGCAATGTTATTTTTGTTTTTCTTTTGCGCATGCAAATTTGATTGTATCTGGCGAATGTTGATGCATTAGGGTAATTGATTGGCTTCGCATAGCTATGTTAAGACAAAGGCATATGTATGTACAAGTCTACAGATGAAAGACTATTAGTAAATTTTTGGATAAATTTATTTACCGCAAATTCATTAAAATTTGTAATATTTTCACAGCCCTAGATAATGCCGACATTAAATTATTGAATCTATTGAAACTGAATCAATGGCCATTGTGGTCGAATCGTACCGCAAAAGTTTGATCCCTGGTCCGAGAAACAACCAAACAAAAAGGTTTTTTTTTTCTGCTAGCGGTCGCTCCACGGTAGGCAATGGCAACGGCAAGGCCTCNTTTGATCCCTGGTCCGAGAAACAACCAAACAAAAAGGTTTTTTTTTTCTGTTCTGAGTTTGTTTTTGCCATGAAATACAGCTTCTTATAAATATACACCACAAATCGAAGGTGAAGCTGCCATCCTATGGATATTAGGTACATGGGAGTTTTTTACTTTTGGCATTTAATGCTTTTTTATTTTGAACCAAACAGTATAAAATATGGAATACATATTTTCAGAGGAAATCGAGTGCTCTACAAAAATGCCCTTCAGTCATTTTTCGACAAAATTACTTGTTCACACGCAAGTTATTCGCTGATCAAAATCTCACTCAAATTTATTTTATCAAATTAAGCGAGTCAAAATTTTCAAACAGGTGGCAACCCTTCCAAAACTATTCGCCAGCTGTAATCTTGGTTAAACCTCTTTAATTTGAAACCCATGTTGTAATATTTCATTTATTTTATTATTTTTTATTGAGTTTAAGATTTTAACACATGCGGCAACCCTCCCAAAATAACTCTAACAGTGACTTAAATCCACTCTTGCACTTCTTGTAATATTTCATTTATTTTATAAATTTTATTGAGTCTATGATTTTCAAG